CTATTAAGACACTGTTGCAGTGGACACTGGAAAAACTAAGAAACATAACTGACATAATTTGCTTGGCCTTGGCAAAGCCACTGCCTATCATAACCTGGCTTACTTCAAATGTTGCCAAAAGACTAAATGCTGAGACAAAGGGTACAATCTGCATCTGGTACATGGATTTCGGATGCAGGGTGAGGACAACAGAAGGAAGAAACTTTGTTCCAGTTCCTTCCTTCCCAAGGGAGAAAAATCTCTTCCTATGTTGATTTTATGCTTTTTCATGAATCTGAGAACAAAGGCAAAGTACACAGCAGCTGCTCCTTTCAAGTTGATTAGACTATCTCAGGAAAAAGAAACAATCACCAATGGCCATCATGAACTTTCATGAACCGTATGCAGCCCATCATAACAACCAAGGCAATCTAATAGGTTTGGTAGGAATTATTTAAAAGACTAGGCACCTAGAAATTATAAAGGTCCTAGAATTATCTGTCCAGCTAAATTTTATTTTAATTTTTATTGTAAAGTAATATGGTCTCTCTCTCTCTCCCTCTCAACATAAAACTTCAGATGATTTTCAAGTTGCAATTACAAAATTCTAGTTGAAACTAGCAATGTAACTAAATAGAAGTCTTCCTTTACGATAACCCATATTAAAAACGTCCAAAGCATGTTCTTGAAATTATGTAAAGTTTCTAACATGTGCAATTAGTTCATTTTCCTAAAAGAGTTATACACTGGTCAAAAACATGCAATACTCAGAGTTCAAGATTGTAATAGAATTTCCTTGAATAAGTAATATGAAATGCTCCAAATACATATCCTTTTCCCTTCTTAGAAGGTAAGCTTGGCCATCTCATTTTAACTATGCTGTTTTCTAATTAAAATTCCTAGTTACAACTTCTTGGAATCTGGATTATCCTGAATACCCCCCTCCCCATTTCTTTATCAACAGACTTCTTACAATGTATACCACTTTCCATTCTTAATACCTACTATTCTTTAATGTAGTATTATCTTATTTGCTTTTCATAAGGTATTTATTAGTATTATTCAAAATTTAGATGTAACTGAAACAGAATCATCAGACAATATTGTGCTATAAATATGATATTGTTCATTATGAAGACAATTTTCTAGAGGTAATTCTGGACAAACTAGTGCTTTAAACCTGTATGAAGTCTCAATCTATATTTTTAAAAAAATCCCTAACCTTTAAATTGCTTGACAACTGACTCATATTACACAAATGGTTGCAGTGTCCTGGGATCATGTGATCACTTTTTGCAACCTTCTGACAAACAAAGTCAAAGGAGAAGCCAGATTCATTTAACAATCATGTTACTCATTTAACAACTGCAGTGATTCACTTAACAACTGTGGCAAAAATGGTCGTAAAATAGAGCAAAACTCACTTAACAAATGTCTCACTTTTGTTGGGCTCAGAAATGTTAAGGCTCAATTGTGGTTGTTAAGTCAAGGACTACCTGTAATAGAAAGGTATTCAGGGGTATAGTGAATGGTATTGTTGTAAAATAAACTTATTTCTTCTTCTTCTTCTTCTTTTTTTTTTTTTTTGGCCTCATCTCCTGCCTTTAATTTCTTTTGCTTTTTTTTTTAAAACTTTTCTATCTGTTATGCTTTGGGAATCGCACAATGGGCAAATATGTACCTACATACGTAAGAAATGAAGAGCATCTTTCTCTGCCTTAAAATATGTTTGGAAACTATAGGCAAGTGGATATGTTAAAAAAAAAAGTTTGAAAATGAATCCAGACAATATGGTAATCATTCTAGTGATGAATGCCATCTTTTTAGAAGAAATGCGCCTCCGTTAAACCAGAGAACCTCTGTAAATCCTTCTGATTAGATAACAACCTTGACCACAACCTGGCCCTGGTACTTATTTTTCTGAAAAGCAGTTAAAAGCTATGGATAGAAATGTTGTTTTCCAACTGCAGCTCACCCGCTCACTGCCCACATCAGTGGTAGAGGACAGAATGTTCTACCTCAGTCCTGACTGCCATAGCATTTACTGATTTCCATGCTGCAATTCACTCTACGTGAGAGTATCTTTGTGGAGCACTCAGAAGCCTCAACTGGTAGCACACAGCTGTCCATCTTGCATCAAGGGTTAGAAACAGGTGCATATTCAGCTAATTTTGTGCCAATTACATGTGGCTGCCAATTTGCTTTTAGGCATAATTCCAGATAATATTTTTATTCCTTAAAGTCCTACATGACCTGGGACACTAATGTTTTGAGAACTGCCTTTCCTAGAAGAGTCTACTGTTGCATCCTTACATAGAATCTCACAACACAGTCCTGTTGAAAAATTCTGTCCAATAATTCATTAAAAAATGATCAAATCTGTTTTTTTTTTTAAAATTTGGTCATTGGCTGACAGCTGGGTTAAAATTTTAAAAATCATGTAAGCTACTTTAAACTGTATTCAGAAATAGTATCTGTGTAGGTTGATGAATATATATATATTTAATTCATAAAGTTAAAAATAGCTAATGATAGTGAAGTTTAATTGTGATCCTCAGACAAATTCTTATTATGAAATTAGGAATATATACATAATAGTGAAATCCAAATTTAAGCAGATTTATTATTTGATATAGTTTGGGCTTATTCTTTTTTATTTTTTAGTAATACATTTTATTTTATGGTTATAAAACACAAATGATACATTATTTTGGTATTTATATAGTATTGACTAGAGATTAAGGCTGATGATTTAGATAATTTAAATCTTTAAAGATAGAGAGAAAAAATATGTCAACATTAACTATCATCTAGAGCTGACCATAGCATTGATAAATAACTGCAAAATTCATTAAACTGATTGTTACTGTATATAATAAAGGTTTTGTACGAGATGACCCGGCTGAGCCCGAGGGAGGGGTCAAACGTGTCATATGTCATGAGTCCCAGCACACCCACGAAATATCTAAATCCAGTCTACCTTGACTACCTGTCTTATTTCCTTTGACCGCAAATTTGTCAGACTCTTATAGAGAGCTTAAGTTTGCAATAAATCTTTATACTCATTTGAACCTCCTGAATTTCCTAATTTCCCCGGCATTTCTATCTTAAGCTTAATGCAAGGATTCCATTGTATTATTACTTATTGTTGTTTATGCTTATTTAAAAAACAAAAGGAAAAATAAGTAAAAAAACCTATTTTCTAACTTTCTCCTTCTTTATATCTTGACCAATTTGTGGTATAAAACGTTTATTCCTTGATTTATGTTTAGTATTCTATAAAACAATCTTGGGGGGGTGGGGGGTGGGAGCAAGCTGTTTGCATTCATTACCATAGATCACAAGATTGATATGTTTTCTACTGACCATGATTCCACTGTGAATAAATCCTCTTCGGTAGCGGGCTGGTTTGAGATGAGGATATTCTTCGGTGCTTGTTACTTTGATCCCCCACACCTGTTTCCAGGCTTCATAGAGTTGCACATGGACCGGGTACACCCCTGAATGATGAGGGGCCACTGCGTATCCCATATCTGTAGGGATGCCATGTTCCTAAGAAAAGGCATTCATAACTGTTATCCTCTAACGCTAACAGAGGAATTTTAATGAAGTAATTACACTGCAAATGAGAAGAGCCAGACATTCATTTTATTTCTTTATCTTAGTCTAATCCAGGCAGAATTCTAGTTTAAGACATAGTTCAAAGTGTATTTTTTGCTCTTACTGAATTAGTCAGACCAGGGAGTGGATTGAGTAACTAGCATTATATAAGTCTTATTGTTTCCTGTTTTTCTACAGGCTTTTACGCTCAATTTAAAGCAGGTTTTGTACAGAACTGGCCTGATGACTTTTAATCATCATGCTTCACAGTTTTTCAGGAGATAGTTAAGTGAACAAACACTAAATTTCTACCCTGCTGAACTGGAAAATATTCTACTTCACATCTGAACAATTCTTTTATGGAAATGAAGAAATGCTGTTAAAAACACATTTGAATAAGTAGCAGTAAAAAAAAAAAAACCCAATGCTGTAACATATGAACAAATCCCAGGCAACAATCCAAAGTATTGGATTACAGTATGTGTAGTCCTCACTTAGTGACCACTTCTTTAGCAACTGTTCAAAGTTGCGACAATGCTGAACAACAGGTAGTTACAATCAGTCCTTAAAATTGTGGCGTCAGTACCCATGTGTCACAAGATCACAATCTGTGCTCTTGGCAACCGGATGTTGATAGCTGCAACATCCAATGGTCACATGATTGCCATTTGCGACCTACCCTGCTGACTTCCCATGAATAGGGAAGCCAGCTGCGAGTTGCTCTGGTAAATCCCCCCAGTCTTCCTGTGCTCATGAGGGGTTGCCACAAAGAAGAGGGGGTCAAATTATTCTCCAAAGCACCGGAGGGCAGGACAAGAAACAATGGTTGGAAACTAATCAAAGAGAGAAGCAACCTGGAGAAGGAGAAACTTCCTGACAGTGAGGACAATTAACCAATGGAACAGCTTGCCTTCAGAAATCATGGATGCTCCGTCACTGGATGTTTTTAAGAGAAGACTAGAGTCTAGATAGTCACTTGTCTTAGACAGTCACTTGTCTGAAATGGTATAGGTTCTCTTGCTGGAACAGGGGGATGGACTAGAAGACTTCCAAATTTCCTTCCGGCTCATTCATTCTATTCATGCCATGCCATCCACCTCCACGGTCTTCCTGCGCTCGCACTCCTTACCCCTGGTCCTCCTGCTCTTACACTATGCTATCCACACCCAGGCTTTCTTGCACTAATGTGCGGCCTGCCCTGGGCCTCACCTCACCTCCAACTCTCATGCACCCTCCCAACAATTCCCCACCCCCACCCCCGCAGCAACCAGTGTTCCTTATTTGGGAGTGTCATCACTTCTCACTTAACGACCTGCATCTCTTGGGATAACAACATCAATAGGGATTGTTGTCTCTCTAAGTGATGTGGTTACTTGACTTCGTGCTTTATGACTGTGTCGCTTAGCAACAGCAACAGCAATCCCAATCCCAACTGCCATTGTAACCTGAGGACAACCTGCAGTTTAAGAAGCGCCTTCTGCAAAATTACAATATTACGCTTTGTTTTCCTCGCCCTTTTAATTGAGTTTTTGTTAATTAATAGTGTGAATAACACTTCCAAAACTTCATACCCCTAAGAAGTATCTTTTGCAGGCTCTTTTTAAAAAGAAAGTAATTTCACAAGGTCAGGTAAGTACTGTGCTGAAAGATGTTGGGAATTATCTAGCAAAAGCACTGATTGAATAAACTGTGTTTAGGTTATTTTTCAACTGAAAGTAGTGTAGTAATATTTTAACATACACTTCCTAATGTCAGTTCCAAGCCAGAGACAGCAAGGTAGCAAGATCCAACCAAGTTCAATCCTTTATTTGCGTACATGTAGTGGACAGAATCTTGCCGAATTAAAGCTATAATTTTCTAAACTACTAATATATCATGAGAGATTCTAGGGTGCCATTACCCTGAATTTTTTCCTCACTCTTCCCTCCAACTTTGGGTCATGCAGTCTCTTGGTCTGGGCCTCTCTCTGGGAAAGCTCTAAGTTGGCCAAATTCTCCCCCTATGCTGCTACAGGTGCACATTCCAACACAGCTGCATCTGGATGTGATGGAGTAACATGAATATGCTCAATGTTAAAATTAGAACAGTACATTAGGAAAAATTTGGGGAGCACCAGGAACGAATCACTACTAAACTAGAAAAAAATGCTAATGTGGAACTGAGCCACTTAGAGATACTCGAAACACTATTTGTCTCTGTATGTCCTTACTAGGAAAAGGAACCATCCAAGCAACCCCTGCATTGACAGCAATGTTAAGAGCTCACATGCAACACAACCAACCATCTGTGTGGTTCTGGAGATACGTATTAAGCTTTCAGGAGAGTAGCTACTCAGTAACAAAATCACAATTTAAATTTAAAACAGAGACTTATGGGCAATAGTATGACATTTACTGGAACCATATATTAAACAGATATTTGGATGGTGTCATAGGAACCATTATTTGTTTTTAGCATACATGAAAAGTAAAAAAAAAAAATGCAGCTGCAGATCAATAGCTGCAGGACACACACACAAGGACAAAAATAGCAGCACATAATTTGGGAACTACTAGGAGCACCATGAATTGAAACAATTTGGGAATCTCTGTTAGTCAAACCTTCCACCCTTCATGTATTCAATGCTTCAGGTTGTATTACCTGAAATAATTATTCAATTGGTTACAAATCCATAATATTTAAAGACTTTCTCATTTTAGTGGTTTAATGTACAGTCACACTGTTCTGGCAATTCCTGTTTCATTTTGCAATGATAAAACTTGTTATAGCCACTGGTTCTAGATGAGAAGTAAGCAAACTAATAATTCTACATAGTCAAACTATCCTCTGTTTTTTCTTATAAAACCTACCCTCCTCACTCCAGCAGTAGTCCTGGGCAGCATTTTACTTACCACGGCGAATTTCTTGTTCATGGCCATTTGGTCTGCCAACACGGATTGATTGTGAAAAAGGTGAGGCTGCATGTGACTCCACATGTGGGGGAACCACCAAAACTCCTTCACATAAGAGAGCAGAAGGTCATCTCCCTCGTCCTCCGCATCTGTACCTGCCAGGACCAAAGCATCATCATCATCATCATCACTATCACCATCATCATCATCACTAAGCAATGTTTAAGCCACAAATGAAGGCAGAGCTTCACAAAATCATACCACGCAATCTGACAGCTTCTACACTGAACAGCATTAAATGGAGTACACTGCATGGATTAAGTTAACCCAAAAACCTTAGATCTCCCCAAGTAGAAAGGAATAGAAACTCTTCTTTATTAACCAGACATACAACACTATCATTTCCATGTCCAGAACTCAATGCAGAGGTGAGATCCTGTGGCCTTTCAGATGGTTTACAAAGTACAAATCTCAGCAGCCTTAGACATCATAGAAGATAATAAAGGATGCCTGTTGTTATAGATTACATTTGGAGGACTTCAGGTTCTTACAGTTGCCCTAATGCTTTAAGACACTTGCATATTCAAATTATATTAGGTAAATTTTCACCAGTCACCGAGATTAAAAGGTTTGAGAAGCTACAAAGAAAACTTTGCCAATTGTATTCTTACCTGTGTGGAAAAATTTCCCTGAGTAGCCCAGATTGAAGGTGAAATTTGGGATATGGGTGCGTAGTTCATTCTGAGTATCAAACAAAGCCTACAGGATGGAGAAAAGAGAATTTAAAGAGTAGCTTACAAAAAAGATTGGATCTACATAACTAGGTGGTACTTGCTCAATAGTAGTAATTGTAAGAAGGATCTTGGAGTCCTAGTGGACAATCACTTAAATATGAGCCAGCAGTGTGTTGCAGCTGCCAAAAAAGCCAACACAGTTCTAGGCTGTATCAACAGAGGGATAGAATCAAGACCACGTGAAGTGGTAGTACCACTTTATAATGCCTTGATAAGACCTCACTTGGAATATTGCATTCAGTTTCGGTCGCTACATGTAAAAAAAGATGTTGAGACTCTAGAAAGAGTGCAGAGAAGAGCAATAAAGATGATTAGGGGACTGAAAGCTAAAACATATGAAGAACGGTTGCAGGAATTGTGTATGTCTAGTTTAATGAAAAGAAGGATGACATGATAGCAATGTTCCGATATCTAAGGGGCTACCACCAAAAAAAGGGGGTCAACCAGGGGTGAAATGCTCCCGGTTTGGACCGGATCGCCCAATCCGGTAGGGATGACGGCGGGTGGTTCAGAGAACCAGTAGCAAAAATCCCTGCGCCTCCCCTCCCCCACCATGCCCAGCTGACCTGCACGATCATCAGACGCTTTTTTTTTACTTTTAAAAGCATTTTTTCTACAATCTCTTCCGACGAAAAAATGCTTTTAAAAGTTAAAAAAAAAAATCCTCTGATGATCGCGCGGCTCAGCTGGGATCATCAGAGGCTTTTCAAAGCATTTTTTTCTGCAACCTCTTGGCCGAAGAGGTGGTAAAAAATATGCTTTGAAAAGTCTCTGACGATTCCAGCTGAGTTGCCTGATCGGCAGAGAGGCATTTTTTAAAAAGCCTCTCTGATGATCCCAGCTGAGTTGCCTGATCAGCAGAGGCTTTTCAAAGCATTAGAAAAAATGCTTTGAAAAGTTAAAAAAAAAAAAAGTTGGCCACGCCCACCCAGTCACATTACCCCACCCCCCAACAAGCCATGCCCACAGAACCTGTAGTAACAAATTTTACATTTCACTCCTGGGGTCAGCCTAGTCTCCAAAGCACTTGAAGGCAGAACAAGAAGCAATGGATGGAAACTAACCAAGGAGAAAACCAATCTAGAAATAATTTTCTAACAATTAGAACAATTAACCAGTGGCATAGCTTGCCTCTGAAAGTTGTGGGTGCTCCATGACTTGAGGTTTTTAAGAAAAGATTGGACAGCCATCTGTCTGAAATGGTATACAGTCTCCAGCTCGAGTAGAGGATTGAATTAGAAGAACTTTTAACTTTATTATTCTGTTAATTCTGTTAATTACTGAACTTCCCATTCTCTTTGCCAAAACCCCATATATAGCATAGCAAAGCCCCATATATAGCACAAATTTCTGCATGAGTATGGATTACTGCAGATAAAACATACCTTTGTTCAATTATTCACAAGATTGGAAGTTTCTGGACATTCTATCACAGATTCTAAATTTGATATTCCTGCTTTCTGAAAAGCTGACCATCATCTACTGACTTTCAAAAACATTCAACAACATATTCAAGACAGCAGCCTGTCTTCTTGAACTGTTGTTGCTAACATTAGAGTTGCAATACTTGACTGAATGTCCTAAGGGCCAGTCTACAGTTCTTGCTGCAACTTTCACTTCCAAAAAGTGAGAGGAAGGAGCTTCTTATATAATGAAAAATATTTTAGTACTGCCCTAGAGGTTAAAAAATGAAAGCTAGGCATCATCAAATTCTATGCTACCATAGAAAGTGAAACAAGTATGTATGCCAGTTCAGATATTTCTTTTCATTAACATGTGTTAATACATGCATTTCATTAATTCACATGCCATACTAGAAGTTTACTTTTACAGGACAGCTATGTTGTAAACTACAGGTGTATTCTGCAATATCCAAGTTTAGAGATCACTATTAATAAAGCAATCTTTGGACTCTCATATCGCCTTTCTGATAGGAACAGATATTTAAATTCACCTGAGATATCTTTTATGAACCATGCCCATGTTGGGTATCCATTAGATAAATTCTAGTTAGAAGTAGGGGTATTTAAGGGAAAAAAGTTAAATATTCATTCAGTACATTTAGATCTTGCCAAACTGGGTCTTTAGTCAGGAAGCACCTGTTATTTGAACCTTTGACTGATACATGTTTATTAAACTTAAATGACTAGCTAGAGGGTTCAGTAGCCATCTCTACTTTTGTTGAAATATGGAAAATAATGGCCAGTAATTTAAAAGGCAATTTATTATATTTATTTATTTATTTATCAAATGTATTATCTGCCTACTTACCACAGGGTAATTCTGGGCATATAGTATGATTTATGTTTTTCCTTGTTCTTCTAAAAGTAGCTAATGACATGAAATAAAACTTTTCAAAAAACATCTTGCTGTAACTACCAACGTCTGCTATATGGCTCAAAGGTTCCCCCCTCTCCCCTTCCCTTTGGTGATTAACATTTGACCAAGATCAGAGTTGCTTATAAAATACTCTCCTCAAAACAAATTCCTTTCAAGAGAAATTGTATTTTTCATAAGGTGTCAAAAAATTGTCTAGTACCTCACATACAAAACTTTCCCATTTTATGCAAAGTGTTTTATGTTAGTGCATATGCACCCATCTATAGCTAAATCAGTTTAGGCACCTGCAATCCAAACTGTATGCTAGCAGATAGAACAAGCAACAAGAACTCTGTGATCTAGGTCACTGATCTGAGCATCAATGAAACCCATTTAAACTTTTCCTTTAATGAAATGAACTCGAGGGTCAATAGGCCCCACATCAACCCACAACCATAAAACAAAGAGCAATAGGCCGGTCTAAGAACAATTACCTTGACATCATCCACCTTCATCCGTGTGCCTTCCTTGCCAACAAAGATATCATCAATGTCGACTAAGATGTAACGGTCAAGGGGAAGTGAAAGCCTCTTGCCAGTCAGGAATGAAACAGCGTCCACAAAGACCAGTTTGTGTAGCCAAAAGTTGAGATTGTTTCCAAAAAGGACTCTCTGGATGCCATCATGGAGTCCCAAGTCTTGTACGACGGTGGTATGGAGTGCGGCATCAATGCTCATGTGTGGGATGGATTCAGCTGACTTGGTTTTAGCGAGGAGGACTGGTTCATATGTGGAATGGTTTGACTGGAAGACTGTCCAGTCCTCCCCTGGAAGAAGTCCCTTCTCTACCTCACTGGGCCGCGTGATGTACAGCAGCGGTGATTTGGGATTGATGCTGCAGTCCTTCAGTGCAAGGTTGGAGTGGAGAAAAAGGGGGAAACCTTTCAGCTGAGCACTCAGTAAACTGTTCTCGTTCGCCTGTAAAGAGATCACATGAACTGAATGACAATTTCAGACCGGAGGTTGTCAGGTGACAGTAAATACAAGAACAAGCGAAGAGAATTTCAGCTTACCGTCAGGGAGATAACTTTCTGTTTTATTCTTCAGAAAGTACAATGTGTCCTAGTTGCTTGGCAAGTCCAACTTCAGGACTAAAAAGCCAAAGGACACTAAACACTTTGAGCAGAAATGTGTAATTCAAAAGCTTCCCCATTCAAAAGCTTTCATGCAACATCCAGAAGCCGCAGCTGAATTCTTGTTTGTAATATAAACTGGTAGGGAAAGTTATTACAGGCATGGAGGGTGACCTTACTACTGTAACTTTAAGTCTGTGGATATTTTCAGTCATTCAGGTCATAGTTGTCTCAAGGGTGCTTTTTCAAAAGGCAATTGGACTGTTTTTTTCTCTGAGGAAGAATAATACTTTTTGCTTCTCATCCAAGAAGCTTCTTAGGTTCTGACAGGGTGGTGTGGGCAATGGAAGGATTACTTCTGACAGGATTTTTTTGGGGGGGGAAGGGTGTCTCATATTTCTTTGCAGTTATCTGGTTGTTAGAACTCTTCCTGAGAGCTCTTGAGGCCACAGAGGACCAGAGTGCAAATGGGGGTGGCATCTTCTTGGAACTTCTGCATGATAGACAGGATATAGGTGGTGTCTTATCCCTCCCCCTCTGTTGAGAGAGGGCTGCTCAATCTTAACATAAATGGCCTCTTGTGCCCCTTTCAAGCCAATGGTCCTTTCTATCCAGAATGTGGCCTTTGTTTCCATTGTCCCCCACCATCCTGCCAGAACCGATGAAGCTTCTTGAATGAGAAGCTAAACGTCTTCTTCCTCTTCCTCAGGGAAAAATAAGTCCAGTTGCCTTTTGAAAAAGCACCTTTGAGACTATTGTAACTTTAATTTTGATTTAGTTTAATTTTAATATGGTGGAAATCATTTTACTTATCCCACCCAGACCCTTCTTTTAGAAGCATTGAGACTTTGCTCTTGATTAAGCTATAAATTAGTTCCTAAAACAGTCAACATGTTTGCTATCTTCAGTCAAATCATAAGACTGTCATTAGTATATACATTTCAGCAACCAAAGGATTCAGTTCACAATGGAATATGGAACAGTTTATTACCAATTTTAACATGAACCTCTTCTTAGGAGAAGAATCCAGATTATATATAGCTCAAGGAGACAAGCATACAGAATATTTTGTCTGCCTCCTATTTTCCCACAACGACCCTGGGCAGTGGGTTGGGCTAGTTAATTGCATAAACTAATTATTTTACAAGTGTCACCATATTAAAAAAAATCTTCTCTGAGCTGTCCGTTATAAAAGGGGAAGAATGGAATCAAGTCATTACTTATCTTTAATTTAAATATCAGCAGACTGAAGGGAAGGAGAGCACCCAGAACAGAAATCCTGAAGGCGCTTCCATGTGACACTGAATATGACAAAACAACAAATCTGGGGGTGGGGGTGGGAACTGCTCTCTAGCATTCAAACTCCAGATGGCATTTTTCTCTGAACATACACAAGCAACCTAATAAGAAATGAATAGGTTACTTGTTTCAAGATTTGTTGCAGAGAGCAAGAATCCAGTGCTCATGCACTCTGAGAATTATAAAATGTCAGGATTTAAATTTATGATGGTTCATTTAATTCCTCACAGAGTCCAGAGCTGCTCATAGCATCTGGCTGCAGGTCTCTGCCATTAAGCTAATGCAAAATAAATAATGGCACTGCCCTTGATTCAAAATATTGTAAAAGGAATATATATATATATATTTGGGTAAAACCAGGTTGCTTCGATAGAAAACTCGTGTGTGTGTGTGTGTGTGTGTGTGTGTGTGTGTGTGTGTGTGTGTGTAAAAAATCATAGTGGTCAAAACCTTTATTATGATCCTCAGGCCACACCACAGCAGCTTAGTTAAAATCAAATGTAGTACTGATTAACAACCAGGTTAAAAACTGGGAAATTGTGAGATCTAGTTCTACCTTAGACACAAAACCAGTTGGAAGTTTGGGGAAAGGTTACTGAGAAGATGTTGGCTTACAACTCCAGAAGGTTTTATTAAAAAAAACAGATTATCTGGTCAGGATTCAATCCAAGCCATAGCACTAAAATGCCATTGGTTATGCTTGGCAATAACTTTTGGTGGGTCCAAGATAGAGGTTCTACATTTATCTTGTATCTCCTTAACCTTTCAGTGGCCTTTGATACCATTGATCATGATATTCTTCTAGAAATGGAGCTCACAGTGTTATGGGGGTTGCCTCTTTTCTCTAGGGCCGATTCCAGGCCTCTGTTTTGGGTACCTCGGGGTTGCATTTAACATTCACATGAAGCAGCTAGGGAGGTCATCTGTATGCTGATGGTACTCAGCTGTAGATCTCTGCCTTTGCTAATCAAGTAATGCCATCAAGCTCCTTTCCCAGTACTTGGAGCTTGTGAGGGTCTGGATAGAGGAGGACAGACTTTATCCCAACCTTGGCAAAATTGAGTGTGTGTGGGTTTTTAGGGTCCATGGTTCTGGAAACTCTCCATCTTTAATTTTGCCTGGGGGTGACTTCCCTAGTCAAACCAGTGAGTAATTTGGGTGTCCTCTTGGACTCACAGATACCCACTCTTCCCAGCAACCATAACCATGCTAAGTAGATGAATGATTCAGGCCAGCAACTATGGAGACATCTCCTAGGAGAAAGCTTCCTTACACTGTCTTTGTATTACCATCTACTTTTATGCATAAAATGTGAAGTAAACTAATTTCAGGACATTTTGAAGATACAGTAAGTATCTGATTAGAATATACAATATTGTGTTGCATGCCTCTGGCCTTTTAAAAATCTCAGGTGTGAAGCAATTCTCTGCCTCTGAGATGTAAAGACAAACAAACAAAATTGCATGTCAAAAAAATAAAGGATACTTAGCTACTCAGTTCACTTTCTTTTTGCAGAGAAGCACAAATAGACCTTGGGGAATATTAACAAAAAATCATCTCACAAGAAATCAGGAAAGGGAACTACAACCTGAAATTTCATAGTTCCCCTTTGATAACTTCATTGTGCAATAGGAATAGGTTAACATATACTATTCTGCTTTTCACTGTTGCTCAAATCTTATCTCCAGAAGTCAGTGTATCGCTTCTTCTCTTCCCATCATTTCAGTAAACACTTTCTCAAATTTGAAATACCTTGAAAAAGCCAATGATGCCTACACCGTACTCTACGCAGTACTTGTCCAAGAGCTCACGGTTCCAGGCATCCAGGTTCACATACTTCAGGATGTTCTCATAGATGATAAGTGCAAAGCGCCCTCGGTCCTTGTCAGTCAATGTAGGCATGTCTCCCTTCCCCGGAGCGATCTCTGTCAGATATTTGAAACGACTAGATTCCAAGATGGCCACAATCTCTTGTCCCAGTTGAGAGTAAAGGCTTTCCACAAACACAAGGACCAAGGGGTCAGTCCGAGAAGAATCTACCACTTTGATGGGTTTTATTGGTAGCAGGCGTGAAGGAGCAATCTTCGGTTCATCACAGTCTGGGCTCGGGATATCCCCAGAGGGTTCCAGTCCCCTCTTCCACCCATATAAATAATATGCGGAGACAAAAACACTGAGCAGGCAGAAGGCAAAGAGCAAGAAGAGCACCACTTGAGGAGATACCTGCCGGAAGCTCCTCCGGATCCTTACTAAAGTCATCCTTGCTTTGGAAAAGAGTTTTCAGGTTCCTTCCCCACCCCACCCACCCTTCCCCCCTCCCTCCCTCCAGGTCTCAGCTCAGGAAAGACTGGAGATAGTTTCACAAAGAGGCCATACATGTATGGAATTGCCCCTGTGACAGTCCATTATCCATCCTGGTCCTTTTTCATGTCACCATGGCAAATCCATTCAAAGTTCCTTTCTCAGATAAAAATACCAACAGTTTCTCATCGTCACTGTTTTATTAGGATGGAAATCTGACAGCCTTGGCCTTCAGGAACTGTTCTCAAAAAGCGGGACCACATGGTGATTCCTTGGGTCTGTGAACAGAAGCAAAGGGGGGAAATGTTAGCAGTGGGGAAGAAAAGCCTCATCTCCCAGTTCAGAAGCTCTGCCTCTTAACACATTTGTTTCCAAACAGAGAATTTATGGGCCTCTCACATCTACTTGGCTTCTCTTGCAGCTGGAGTGGGAGAAAATTCACTATACCCATAGATAAGTGTTTTTTCCTTTTGTTTTTTTTTTTCTTAATTATTATTCCTTATCATGTACCATGCAGTGAACCTTTTGCCACTATTGCATAATAAAAGCTGGACTTGTTAAGCCAATTCTTTGGGAGAGCAGAATATGCCAGTGGGTGGATGATTAGGGATGCTCTTTTTTTTTCCACAGAGTATTCAACTCTTTGCATTCTTTCTTCTTTTTTTAAAAAAAAGTTTCCCAGGCTATTTAAGCCCACATAAATAGCACAAGGAAGGAGTCAGAGAAATAGCTAAGGAAGATAAAATGCAGGCTCGTGCATAAAAAATATATATATGCAAACTGGAACTTTCCGAGGCCTTAATCTGCAGAAGGGAGAAAGAGAATAATAGACTAACTTCAACCATGTTCAACGAGCTTTATAGAGAAACTATAAATGTAAGATTGCAGTAACCCCACCCTCAATTCAATCTCAGGGCATCGATTTAAAAAAAGCCAGCTGCCCTTCAGAGAACCATACACGCAACAGTCTTAGACAGGACCCATAGTTTGTTTTCCCAGTCTTGCTGATCACTCCCATGTAGCTTTGAGGTAGCCGCCACACTCTCTGCACCTGCTTCAGCTTAGTGTCAATCACTTGCCAACACACCACAAGAAGCCTTTAATACTTTGACAGTGTAGAGGACTGTAAGAAATGCTGCCATTGCTTTGTATGCTTGGAAAGGCCAGAGGGGGCCCTCAGCCCAGCTTTCACTCGTGGAACAAAAACATGAAACAATTACAAATGTTCTCCTAGTCACTGAAAGAGCCATTCCAAGGCTACACTCCCAAAGAAGAGAACATTATTCAATGCAAATGGTTGGGGCATTTTACCTGTATCTTAGAACACCTTCAAAGCACACATCGACACAAGACAGGAAAGCATAGAGAGGTAAAGAGAAAATGTGTATTTCCCCCATCCCAGTTTTGAAAGGCAAACCCGCTTTCTTTATTCTCTCACTGCGGATCAGTGCAGTAAGTTTTCCAGTTTCTCAGTCAACAAGTAATCTTACGAAGCTTAAAAGAATATTTGGGAAGTGATCTTTCCAAGGACCCAAGCTGAGCCGGTGCAAATTAACCCAATGCCAAATAAAGGCGACAGGAGTGAGGAAATAACTACCTTGTATAGAAAGCATTTCACATAGGTATGGTCGTACTGCCCACAATGACGAACAGATTTGACTTGCATACTATAATGCCAGTCAGCTCACAGCTAGATCAATTATCATATATGTGCACGTTCAAATTTTCTTTAATCACAGTATTACTTTTCCCATAGAGGTAACTTTTGGCATTCCTGCTTCCAGGGATGCAAAGAATGGACAAAATAATAGTACCAGCTAGCAAATGTATCCCTAATGTGTGGAGCATGTTAGATCACGACAATTCCACACAGTATTCTTATTCAGTAAAAGCCAATCTTTGAACATCCATCTGAATTTTCATTTAGGACTAAATGAGACATAAAGTTAAATCTATCTTTGGCTTGAGACTGATAATAATCCAGAGCACAGCAGGTATATGACATGAAACATATTCTTCTGTGCCTCTGCTCTTATCCTAGGAGAAAAAAAAATCTGCATTTAATATTAGCACCAGGAAGAAAATCCCCACTGTTACAGATTATGAATTTCCTTGCAATGCAAATAGCAGTGCTTGGGGGTAGGTGGGAAAAGAAAGGATACATTTCACTTTCTTCATATCTGCTTGATCTGAAAAAGATCAATCCCTGCAGCTGCAGAATTTTTTTATTTCCAAGCTATGGCTCACTAAATGCAGATACTGTAGGTTAAGCCATTATGTTTAGTTTAACCATTAAGGTTGAAGTTTAATAGCCACAATATTTTTTCCTTACTGGTTTTTTTTAGTGACACTTAATTATTACAGCTGAGGACAAAGCCCCCCTTCTCCCCCCCCCATTCACAGTTGCAAGTTGAGACATCTGGCAAAATTTCCAAAATGTGGTTGTGAAGTGCTCAGTCTTGTATTCTACTCTTCATTAAATCTTAATCAGACATTACTCAGACTTTTTAAATCACGAAGAATGAATCACAATTATCGTTTTCCCACAAGCTAAAGCTCCCTAGGGTAGATAGATGCTCCATCAGTTCACAGAAAGACACTACTCGGAATCTAAAGAGCTTTTCCAGTATGCTGGACAACAGCTCTTTCTCTACACAGACTGGACAATCAGACAGATCAGTTAGGCATGACATTTATATCCTTGATACGTGAGTGCTACTAGTAGAACATTTTAATCTGGCTGGCCAACAAAGACAGCCTGCCAAGTAACTACCCTAATGCGATACACATTTTTTTATAAAATGAAAAGGTGAAAAACATTGAAACAAAGTTTAGTGTAGGATAATCTCAGACATCAAGAGTATCATAAGAGGGAGAATGGGCGTTAGACTTACCTGATACGCCTCTTCTCTGTCTGGCGCCCATGGCAGTCATGTCTGGGTAATGACACGGCTGTCATCCAATGACCGAGTCTCCTGGAACTTTCAGCACCGCCCCTTCCTGCTGTATTCCAGTTTGAGGCGAGGCTGTCCAGAAGACTGGAGTGTCTGTAGAGATAAAGCAGATAGTAAAAGCACCTTCCCACCCCCAGGACCCAGGGACGGCCGGAACGGGTGGGGCTGACTGCCATGGGCGCCAGACAGAGAAGAGGCGTATCAGGTAAGTCCAACGCCCATTCTCCTGCAGGGCGCCCATGGCAGTCATGCCTGGGACATACCAAAGCATGGTGTCTCCTAGGGAGGGAGAGGCCGGACCTGCTGTAGAACTCTCCTGCCAAAGGCAGCGTCCGCCGATGCGTAGACATCCAGACGGTAGTGCCGGATGAAGGGAGAGACAGACGACCACGTAGCGGCCCGACAAATCTCGTCCAAAGGAGCCTGTGTGGACCAGGCGGCGGAGGTGGAGGCGCTTCTTGTGGAATGCGCTGTAATATTCACAGGGACCTGTAGGGACTGAGCCTCGTAGGCTAATGCAATCGTAGCTCTGATCCACCGTCCGATGGCAACAGAGGAGACCCGAGATCCCATAGTCGAAGGTTGAAAGGACAGGAAAAGAGCTTCTGACCTCCGAAAGGTAGCAGTACGAGCCACATAAATCTTGAGAGCCCTGCGGACGTCTAGCTTATGCCATATGAATTCCTGGCGACAGCGAGGCGAAGGGCAGAAGTTCGGAAGTGTGAGCTCCTGTGACCTGTGGAAGATGGTGTTGATCTTCGGCACGAAAGCCGGGTCGAGGCGAAGCACCACCCTGTCCGTGTGAAATATGCAGAGGTCGGACCGCACCGACAGGGCAGCGAGCTCAGAAATCCGCCTGGCGGAAGTAACAGCAACTAGGAAAGAAACTTTGAACGATAAAAACTTGAGTCCAACATCTCTCAAGGGTTCAAACGGGGGACCCGTCAGAGCAGAAAGAACTTTGTTCAGGTCCCACGAAGGGAAGCGGTGAACCGTTGGAGGGCGGAGATTGGTAGCACCCTTCAAAAAAGATCGAATTAGAGGATCTGTGGAGATAGGAGAGGAGGATGAGCATGAAAGGATCGACGATAAAGCAGCCACCTGGCGTCGAAGGGTGTTAGGTGCGAGGCCCGCATCGAAACCATGGTGAAGGAATTCCAGTAGGTGAGGAATAGACGCTTCCGTAGGGGAAATCCCTTTTTTGCGACACCAAGAGGAGAACACCCGCCAGGTGGAGCCGTAGATCCGCAGTGTGGATGGTCGGCGTGCGGCCTGAATGATGGGGATTGCCCCCGGAGGAACGTGAGCCCTCACTAAAAGGAGCCGCTCAGTCTCCATGCGGTCAGTTGAAAGGACCGAGGATTCGGGTGGAGGATGGGACCCTGGTGGAGAGAGATCCGATCGTCTGGGATTCTCCAGTGTGGAGCGACGGACAGGTCCAAGAGGTCGGCAAACCACGGTTGGCGTGGCCAGTGTAGTGCCAACAGGAGAACTTCCGCTTGCTCCGCTACTATCCTCCGGACGACCTTGGGAACCAGAGGCAGAGGAGGGAAGGCGTAGAGCAGCTGATTCCGCGGCCAAGGACTCCGGAGTGCATCCACCGCCTCCGCTCCCGGACAGGGGAACCGAGAGAAAAAGCGGGGAAGCTGTTGATTGCCGGGAGCTGCAAACAGGTCCACCGACGGGGAACCGTACCAGGTGCACAGGTCCTTGAACAGGAGAGGGTGCAGGCTCCATTCGGCCGGATTGATGAGAGAACGGCTTAAGGAGTCCGCTTGGATGTTTGTAGCTCCCGAAATGTGCTCGGCCCGTAGCGACGACAGGTGCGACTCCGCCCAGAGACACAGCTGGAGGGATTCCTGCATCAGGTGACGTGAGCGAGTTCCCCCCTGGCGATTGACATGAGCCTTGGCCGAGACATTGTCCGTGAGGACGAGGACATCCCGACCAAGGACATGAGGCTCGAACTTGAGGAGAGCGAGACGGATAGCCCTCAGTCCCAGGATGTTGATATTCATGCGTCGTTCGTGCCGGGACCAGAGGCCCTGGGCTATGTGCGACTCCAGATGAGCCCCCCAGCCCGAAAGGCTGGCATCTGTGGTGACTACAGTCCTGAGCTGGTCTCCGAACGAAGAGCCCCGGGATATGGCTGACGATGTCCACCAATCGAGAGAGTCTAGGACCGATGGAGGAAGAGCAATTCTGGAGGCCGAGGTGCTGGTGAACCGCCGCTGGTAAGGAAGTAACAGCCACTGCAGCTCCCTGCTGTGGATACGAGACCATGGCACGATGTCGTAAGTAGAGACCATTTTACCCAGAAGGGT